CAGGGCCTTCCCCGGCCCCGCCTGGCCTCAGTGGCAGGCGGCAGTGGGGAGTGGGCAGCCGGGCCAGGCAGGGAGCAGGGCGATCCCTGTCCTCCATGCCCTCTGCGGGGCACTGACCTCTCCCCCTCTAGGGCACTGTGTAGAGGGTTCAGTGTGCGCCTCTGACCCCATCTCCCAGCCCGAGCCTGGGAGACAGAGCCGCACTTGGTGCCGGCAGACGGTGGCGCTCATCTTGCTGGACCCCAGTGCCAGGCGCTGGGACGACGCGGGCTCCATTTGTCAGGCCTGAGCCCCGACGAGGGAGCATCATGAGCTGTACCAAGGCTGAGGAGGAGTCACTGTCGCGGCTGTGGGCCCCGTGGGCCTCCGCCTCCGTGGCCACGTGCCCTGTGGTTGTTCCTGTGAAGCAGGGAGCTTGGGGGATGGAAAGAAGGTGCCAGCAACAGGCGCAGTGCGCCTTGGGCCCAGACTGGCACGGCTGTCCCGGTGGTGGGCCAGCTCATGCGGGCCACAGCTGGCCCCTCGTCCAGAGGCCCCTCTGCCCGCCTGTGCTGTACGAGGCCCTGGTGATTCAGCATGGAAAGTCTTTGCACGGGGAACCTGAGGCCGAGGCCTGGGGTGGGCGGGCTCCCCACAGCTCTGTCCCCAGACTTCCCAAGGAGAGCCAGACGGCCAGGGTCAGGGGGGACCAGGGTCTGGCTGGCTTTGGGACTCCGGCTGCCCCTTCTTCACTGTCAAAGCCACGTGATGATGGGGCCACGGATCCCACTGGGTGGAGTCTTCTAGGTCCTCAGGTGCCCTGCGAGGCCTGGGGGGGCAGGGTCCGTGGGAGCCTAGGGGGCCGCTCTGGGTCGGGGAGGTTCCTGGCAGGTCTGAGGGCAGCCACGGGAGGAGCTGGACTTGTCATCGGGGCTGGAGACCCGGCTGGGCAGGGGTCGCTGCTTCGAGCTAGGGTCACTCCAACGGTGTCAGCATTGCTGGGTCTCCCCACCCAGAATGCACAGCGCAGTGTGGCTGGCACCCCCATCAGCACCAGCCTCTCTTGTGCCAGCTCAAGGTTCGGGGCCTGCTTCACCCCAGCTAGAGCTGGGGCCTCAGTGTGAGTGAGGAAGCAGGCAGAAGGGACCATACTGTGTGCCCGGCAGCTCGGGGGCTGCAAGACCCTAGCAAAGCACCTCAGGAACCAGAGGGAGAGGAGACCAGCGTGCTCCCTGCAAACCCCGGGCCTGGGGCACTGCTGTGGACTGGCCACCGATGCTCTCAGTATCCTCTATTCCACTCTGCCTACTTTTAGTTTTAAGGTGTAATTACCATTTGAGACCACCTATTTAAATATTTAACACATTTCAGAAAACTAGCTCACCTTTTACTTCAACAAA